TAGATTGGAAGAAACCGCTTGGAGTTCAACAGATGACGTGGAAACGAGACATGAAGAAATGCGCAGAGCGATTAGGTCGAATAGGGGGCTCCCGTCTTCCAGGTTGGAGTCCGAAAGACTGCAACTGGTTGGTTGGAGACTGGAAGATATGGCGACTAACCAACAGCAGTGACATTCTTGTTGTCATTTATTACCAGATCAGAACGCTTGAAAAGGTATGCATGCATATTTAGGTTGTGTACTCTATGCGTTGACCATAGAGTTTCACTTTCTTTACCTCCCTCCAATTAGGCCTAATCCCTCATCAACTTGTGCTGTATCACTTGATTTATGCACGTTGTGAGTTTGGCAGCGATCAGCGATACAGTTTCACTGTGTCTCGCTGCATGCTGATGATGATTATGATGATGATGAATACAAAGACCCGACCAATTCAAGATTTTCAATTAGTATTCCCTATACCTAATTTTTACTGGTCTTCGTGAGTATGACTTCTACATCCTTCGCCGTAGACTCTTATTGATGAGTCATTTATCGTTTTATCCCGTAGTATAGTCTCTACAAAACTTCGAACTACGCCTACCATCATCTGGGAAATTTGCACAGAGAATCCCATTTGGTCCCTTTGATCGTCTGCATGGCGACCCATCCAAGTGTCATCCTCATAACTCAATAGGTTTTGCATTTCGCTCCTATCCCTCCCACACTGTTATTTGCAAAATCTCTCCCCATTTTGTTCGAATCGTCATTAATCGAGTACGTGTATCCGTTGAATTTCTTAGCAACTTAAGAGGGTTAATCTTTCAAAGATTGCTATTTTCTTTTTTGGACGGAACGAAGTGTATTTGCCGAAATAATGATATTTGTCTATAGAAAGGTCTCAATAAATACAAAATTCTAATATTCGCGACCTGGAAATGTTCCCGATCGTGTACAGCTCGATTGGCAGTAGATCTGCAGCTGTCTATATACCACACACCACATTAGTCGCTTAAACTTTCTTCACGATACCTGACATGATCTCTTTTTAGAAC